GAAGGGACCGTAAGGGCGTGGTGAGAGCCTCAGCTTTAGGCTTCCCTCTGTGCGGGGAATTCTTGTAACCTCACGTGGTCCCACCTGGGCATCAGGTGGCCAGACAAGTCCTATGTGGAGTGTGGACTTCTCAGCCATGCTGGCTATGGCACCCACCTGCGTGGACCTCATTCCCTCGCACCTAAATTGCCACCTGAGGGCACAGTATGCCCAGGTCTTGGACGCTGCAAGGCCAGCACCGAGGAGAAATGCCCAACCCTGGCCTGCACTCGCTGTGCATCCCGTCCGACGCCCCGCTACGCGAATCCACCGCCGAGAGTAGCCGACCGCAGCCTCACGCGAGCCTCCGTTCCAGCTGCACCTAAGCAGCAGCCCAGTGGGCGTTACGGACGGACGAGGCCCGGCCGGCGACCCTTCGCCCAACTCCCAAGCAGGCTCGGACCACACAGTGGAGCAACCAGCCTGCCCTGGGGACACAGCTCGGCTTTAACGAAGAACAGACCCCGCGGGGACAAGAGTCCCAGGGGCAGGACCCGCAGCGCTTACTTCGCCAGTCTTCTCCTCAGGTCTTTGATTTGGTCGTTCTTCTTGGTAAGAATCTCTTTCATGTTGCGATAAGCTGCCGTCTGCTGGAATTTCTTCTCTAATTCCTGCGTCGTGAAAAACGTCAGCCCGTTACAAAAGAATAGTTACGGAAAGAATTAACCAATCTAAAGAAAATGTATATTTTTTGCTCTAATTTTACTAGTCTTCTGCTTATATTTTCTACTTTCTTTAAAAAATATACTCATATAAAATTAAGACTATTCATACTTTAAAAACACATTCTTTCAAATGAGAAGCCAATAAAATAGTAACATTATCCCAAATATAATGTTAGCAAATAACTCAGAAATACCAAACCCTAGAAAGGAAATCTATTTGAAACAGTAAACTGATTTTCAGGTAGAATAAGCATGATCTTTTTCCAAATCCCAAAGTAGTGTCACTATTATAGGAGGAGGATTTTGAAATTAGCTAAATTTTTGCTCCCAAATTCTGAAGAGTCTAATCCTTAATGAACCCAGTCCTCAACATTTTTCATATAAATTAAGAAAAAGGCATAGAATCCTTTTTTAAAAAGTTACCCATCCCTCTATCAGGCTGTAGGAGGGATGGACGGGAAGGGCGACAGGGAGCAGGGCCGTGGAGGGAAGCCACTGTGGAGGAGCATGCCACCATGCCACAGGGAGGGGTGGAGATTTTTATTATCACAGAGATTTTAGTGCCAAAGATGGGAGAATCTCAGCGCCGAGAAATGACAAATCTTTAGAACATGTATTGGTTAAAATCTTGAGAAAAAATAACGTGAATTTGCAGTTGTCCAATCAATTCCTCCCTTAGTCCCCCCTGTTCCTCTGTACTGCGTTTGTCATTTAACTGGACATTTAGAGACAAATCTGACCTTTTCGGCCATGCTCAGCTGCTCCTGAACCCTGAGCAGGTCATGTTTGGCTGTCGCTAGACTCTCCTCCAGGGACTTCTGATTTTCTGTCTTGTCGTTAAGTGTCTTCTGAAACTCACTCTTTAAAGTGGCAACTGTGTTTTCCAAGTCACTCAAATCTCCAGCCTTTATAAAATCCTATGAAAAATATACACGTCATCATAACTTCACATTGACATTTTATTAGTGACTGTTTTAGATGGTGATTCACCGTGAAGGGAGGCACAGGTGAACGAGGCGTACTGCGTGTGCATGTCAGCCACCTGGGCCAGCAGCCTGGGCGCGCTCCAGCTCCTTGGGGAGTTGCCAGCACGCCCTGCAAGTGCACCCTCAGCCTTCAGTGCATGGTGTCCTGCACATGGCAGACACTCGGTCACCGATTTCCAAACATGTTTCCATGATTTATGAACTGCTAGGATCCCAATGAGGAACAAGAGAGGTGAGACCCTAAATGTGATGAGGCTGCATGTTCCAGAGTTGGGAGGCCAAACAAGAGTCATGTTGAAAAGTTGAGTTCAAAAAATCCCAGTGAAGAATTTTAAAATATACAGATGGAAGAATAAGAAAATTAATGCATTTATATCAATAACATTTTACTTATTATTTACAATAAAATATGAGAGCCAAATCAATGCTTATTGATTTTATGGTTTGCTAAATTTACCATATTTTAATTTTTTTATATTAATGCGATATGCACATTTGCACACTTTGTCAGCTTAATACAAGCAGCTGGATCCTTTCTCTACCTAGATCTTGTTTTTGACTGAATAAAATTTATAACAGAAAGAAAAAGTTGTATTAATAAGACAGGAAAATGGTCTATAATTGCTAAATATGAAGATGAAGCAGTGCTATTAACAAAAGAAAATTCTTTGCTCATTTTTGAAATAGGATCTTTCAAAAGATTTTATTTCTGCAACTGGTGAAGGCATGTATGCATCTTGCTTTTGCCAAAATCTTAAAAGTAAAATTGGAGCAAAGTCCAAAATAGCTTTTAAAACAAATTCACCATCCAAAGTGTTTGCAGTTGTTTTCCTTCGGGGGAATTATAAAGCTGTTCTGTAGTTATTTAGCTCTCTGGTTTATACATCTGTGGTCCTTAGTATATAATGATTGAAAATTACATGTATTTTCCTTTGTTTTTTTTTTAGCCATCTAAGAAATATCCTCTTATTTAAAAGATATCTAGCTACGAATGAAATGATGTAATGTCTGAGATTTCGCCTTAAAAAAAAAAACAGGGGTGGGGTCGGGGAGAAGAAAGTAGAGGTAAATATGAAACCAGACTGGCCTTGCCTAATGACTGGGAAAGCTGAGTGTTGCATACCTGGGGTGCATTATACTATTCTCTTTCTTTTTGTATGTATTTGTAATTTTCCATAGAAAAAGTATAACACGAGCCTAGTGGGGCAGGTTTTGAGATTGTTTAGTAGACATTTACAATGACGATAAAACTACTAGAAAAGCCAACACTGCAAGGACAATTCACTCAAATGACATCCTATTAAAGCTTCCAGCCTCAACAGATGGCCCCACGAGGCAGAGCTGTGCGCAGATGACTTCTAGCAGGCAGAGCGACACTCAGCCATTACACTCAGACAAGCCCGGGGATGATCAACACTGGATTTCGCTGCATTATACAAGTACCACTACATAGAGATGGATCTGAAGATTCATAAAGGCAAATTCACTCTATTTTATCGGACTCAAGAAAGGCAAACTAAGTAATAAGTTTTGCATAATAAAACTCACATACAAATACAATTATGACTAAAAACTCGTCTTCGTTTCTGTTTTCCTCATTGTAATTGGGATAGCAAAGTGAAAGGGGGAAAACTTTTAAAAAATAAATTCAAGCCTGTATGCCAGCGGGCTCTCAGGACACGGGAGGCACGTGAGCTGTGCATCTGCCCCTCTGCCCTGGAGGACGGCGAGGCGAGGGCGCTGGTCCTCACCTGGCCTCTCCTGGACAAGCTGTCCCAGTGCAGGACAACAGCAGCAGGAGGCGGGGGATGATGAACAGTAACTAAAACTTAATATTAAGCTTATACTTTTATTCTATCTAGCAAATCTGAAAAAGATAGCTAAAACCGATTTCACCTTTTGATTTCCTTGATCAAGCTGTAAATCTCGCAGGGCTCTTTCTAGTTTTGACTTCTCATCCAGTGCGTTTGTAGCCTATAATCAAGTTTAAACAAAACACATTCAGTATTTAGTCTGTAAGTAACTCTCCCACGAATCTTGTTAAAGTATTTCTCAGTTACCTGTATTTCAATGGTCTTCAGCCTCGACTTCAATTTCTCATTCTCTTCTTGAAGTCTTAAAATTTCCTTTGCGGGTAAATGCAAGTTTTGTTATTTCAGCCAACTATTTTTAATACTTGAAGTTACTTGTTTCACTTAAAAATTTACTTTAAAATCAGATTTAAATTACATAATAGATCAAAACTCTGCGTGCCCCCGTTATCGGTAATATTCCAATTCTACACAGCCCACCGGCCTTAGCCCCAACGGGTCGCCTTTGGCTCTAAGACTTCTGGTTCCTTCTCTCGCAGCCTCAGACTCTCTTCAGCCCTCCGCTTTCAGCCTTTCCCAAAGTCCCTCTCCTATGCCACCTCTCACCTTGCTGATCCTGCAACTCTTGGGTCTGTTCTTGGCCTATGCTGCACGCCGCTGTCACTTATCCTGAAACACAAGCTTCCGCATTCCACTACCCTGTGCGCAAGCCCCTAAATGTTTCTGACAGAGCGGAGGCCAAATACCTTTGCTTGTAAGCAGCTTAATCACTAGTCACCTGTCGGTCCAGCCTTATTTCTTACTACGCTCCAACACACACACGGGCCCGTCAGTGCGCTGCTGTTCCAATCAGGCCGGCCTGCCCTCTGCCTCTGACAGCTGCCTATTCTGTCCTCCTGCCTGCTGGGCCCCCTCCTCCTGCCTCTGACAACTTAACCCATCTTTACTCTTCAGCCCGGCTCAGGCCCTGCCTTACCCAAAAGTCTGTCCTCAACTGCTCTCATCCACACGGAACTGTGTCTTCTCTGCCACCCTGTGGCGCCTGTGGCACTTGTGGCACACACATTAGCATTCTCTTATCTGTTTCCTGAAGATTAGTTCTCCCTTCTCAATGAAACTCTAAGGTTTTTGAGGGCAAAAGGTCAGGTATAAACTGCTTTTTATCTAACAACATCTGCGTGATGTTAACAATACTGGAGTCACGAAGAATATTTATTTGTATGTTGGTAATTAATTTTCACAAATCTCTCAACAAAATTCCCTTAATTGCCATCACAGCCCATAAACTTCTAATGTCTATCAATAAACGCTGTCAAAAATTCCATGCTCTTCACTTCACCATGAAATATGTGACCTGGAGCTGCTTCAGACTTTCTGGAAGGTAAGTGTGCCCTCTTCTGGCCCACCGGGTACCATTCAAACAACTGCAATGGACTAATCGCCCTCCTTGGACCAAAGCCTGAATCGGCCTCCACTCTCAAGTTGTGCAGGTGACCGGAGGGCACAAGAGAGGATGTGCCATTTCTCAAAATGACGGCAGCATTACCTTGTTCAGGAGTTCTGTCGTCCCACCTTCGTTAAGCGGAGCAAGTTTCGGCTTTATGATATCTATGATGGGCTGAAATGAAATACAGAAACCAAGCTGAAACCACCGCAGGATAAATCACGCATGATCCCTGAACACTGGCACTTTCTAGGTAGAGACACCATGTAAACATACACCCTGGGATGTCAGCTCCAAGAGGGTGGGGGTCCTCACTGGTCCTGTTCTCTGCTACGTCCCAATGCCCAGGACGACGCCTGGCCCATGGTGCCCAATACGAATTAGAGATAAACATGAAACCTGTCCGCTCCATATTTTGTCTAAAACAATACAGATGGAAGGGAAAGGGGGCTAGGCGCTCAGAGCCAGAGCGGATATAAATCGTAGCCTGTAAGGACTGGGCTTTGGGAGCTGAAACACAGGTCTCTGCACAGACCCAGACTCTGGGGAAACCTGTAATACTGATGAGGATTTAGGGAACCACACTGCAGATGAAGAATACCTTGCCATAAATGTTCCCGCAGTTTAGCAATGTGTCTTAAAAACAAAAGAATCCATGCCCTCTGACCCGGAAATATCAGAAATATATTCTAAAGGAATAATTGGAGAATTGTTCTGTATGTGCATGTTCACAGATCCATCTCGGCAGCAATTACCACCCAATACCAAGGAAGCTTATGGTGCATCTATACGACGCAGATCCCGAGAATGGTTAATGAGAGAGGTAGGTAACCATTAGCACGGCCTCCACTTGACAGATGAGGAAAACAGGTGAGAGAGAGAGCGAGCGAGAGAGAACAAGAACAGCTTTTGAATTCTGCTCTTGAATGCTTTTCCTTGAGAGTTCTCACCTTAGCCCCTGAATGCTCTGAGCAACCTAAGGATTTTAAATACTGGCTATTAAGATATGGACTTAAAGTGACCAAAAGTTACCTTTTTATTTGAAGATGTAAATTCTGCTTTTTCAAATTCTGCAACTTGTTCTAATAATTCTCTTGAAGATAAAAGCACATATGAAAAAAACATTTATTTAAAATAGAATTGTATCACACACATAAGAATAAAACCACTCGCACCAATCTAGTACATGCTGGAGAGAACAGAGATGAACAAAACTCAGCACTAATGGTTGAGAATCCAAACTGCGTGGACTCCACTTGGATCTCCCACAGCACCCAGTATTTTGCACCTACTGAGTGTACAATATGCTAACTAGAACTAAACTACAATGCTAATACCAATATGTCTGAAATTTGTAGTCAACTCTATATTTTTGAGGTGCTACGGTGAGACAGCTTTGTTATAGAATACACACTGTTAGCTAGTAGATGTTCAAGAAAGACAAACTGATTTTAATAGAGTAGCCTCCCCAAAATGGAATTACAGTACTTTGTGATATCTACTGAAAAAGAGAGTATCATATATACTGAGAAAGAGTATGACACAGTCTCCAGAAAGATGGTCTGGCGTGATCCACACGCTTATTCTCTTCCATTTGCAAAGGTAAGTGAGAGCTAACCACACAAAACCCGCAGAGTGAATGGCAGTGGCGACTCTTCTAAGCCTCGTAACAGGGGCGTTTGCTCGCCCGCACCCTCCTGCCAGTCGGTGAAGTTGAATGGTTTCCCTTCGCTACTGGGGACCTGCCCAGCGTTAACGCTGCCCTGCGTTTGGAGAACAGCTCGCAGGGTTCGGCGGCCAGTCTTTCCTGATTTCTGGCATGACTTTTCTTAGAATGAGTTTCAATTTCACCGATTTTACCGTGCTTTTTAAATTCACCGAATTCTTTGATGGTATTCGGATTGTAAAACTCTCTTTTTACATTTTCTATTTTAAAGATAAGTATAATTTAAAATGTAATTATTTAGGAAAAAACTTCCAATACTACTAGTCTGAAATGATGATATCTGAATATTTTTTCAAATGTTTCATCTCTATTTTCTAGTTGACCTATCTCTAAAGATTTATTATAATGGCAATCAGGCTAACAACGATATCGTAATGATTAATTATTAATCACCTGAAAAGCAATTTCATATATCTCGAATGCCTTTATAACACCTAGAAACAGCAGGAACACACAGCTTTGGAGGGGATGCCGAGTGGCGCGTAAGAGACCACTCAGTAACAGGATGCTCTGCTGTTGCCCTACTCAAATTTTCTCAGGCACTTGCCCCAAGAAAAGCAGCAGTAAAGACATTCGCTAACTTTTAAGGCTATGCTTGGGCCTCCATTGTCATAACTGCAGGTACAAATTTTATTACCTGTTTTCAAGTTCAGAGATATCTGTTTGTAGCTTGAGGTACCACTTCTCAGCCTGCGAGAAAAGCTGCCGCAGAAGTAGCACGTTGGTGTAGGCCGTGTTGATGAGCTCGGACTCCACCTCGCTGTGGACCACAGCCTGCAGCCCGCTCAGCACTTCAGAGACTTCGTCTATGGTGAAGGTTTCCTCCACCAGCCTGAAAAACAACCCCATCCAAAACTTCTGCATAAACAACAGAAACTGTTTACAAAACAAAACAAAATGAAGAAACCCACATTCATGTCATCTAGGCCCATGGTCCCCAACCTTTGTGGCGCAAGGCCAGGGACCGGTACTCCTATGAGAATCTAAAGCCTGATGACCTCATGGAGCTGAAGCAGCGATGCCGGTGCTGGGGAGCGGCTGCAAATACAGATGAAGCTTTGCTCGCTCGCCAGCCACTTACCTCCTGCTGTGTGGCCCTGTTCCTAACAGGCCACAGATCAGTACCGGTCCACAGCCTGCCTGAAAGAGAGAACCCCTGATCTAGGGAATGAAGGGTTATTGTGAACACCTCTCTGGGAACTGTCTTCTTTATTAATAAAGAAGACTGAAAATAATTGATACTGGATTAAATTTTAAAGTCTCTTGAACAATTAAATTGTGGCTCACTATTCAAATGTGGACATCCTTTAATAAGCACATGCTCAGAGACATTCCCCCAAACTATTTCCTTTTTTCTTTAATTTTTTCAGATTAAAAATCTTTTGTACTTTATATTTTCCACTAAAATTAGTCTTATCATAATTAGTAATTTCAAAAGTCACCTGGAAGGTATAATTTCTCCTTTCTTTCCATTTGTCTGGCATTTCGAAAATTGTATGAACTATTTAGATGTCAGTAAATGCCTATGAGAAAATCAACGGTAACTACATATTGTTTCTCCGAGCATTCCTGAGACTCAAAAGAAAAAAAAACCAACTCCAAAATGAACTTATTTTAGTTAAAGCTTCACGGACCACTGACCACTCCATAAAAATAAACACCATCATCCACAACTGTGGTAAAAATCCGCTCTCTCACAGAATGTGTTTGGTTTGGGAGGGAACTTCGGAGCCATTTCTTCAATGCCCTCACTTTACAGACGGGAACAAAGGCTCAGTGTGTGGCGGTGACATGCCCGTGGTCCCACTGGAGGTGACTCAACCACACAATCATTTCCGGCACTCTCGCCAACATGCCCCAAAGCAGCATCCTTGAGAAATGCGCACCTCCTACTTTCAATGAGTTTCACAGTAACCCAATCCCGACCTCCCCCTGCCTCTGTCCTCAAAGTCCCTTGTCCCAGACACTCAGAAGATGAAGAGCAAGGGCCCCAAACCCAGGTTCGTCTTCTTCCTCAATTCCAAAAGGACCTAGTGAAGGGAAGTGCACCAAAGTTATACTCAAGTTAATATTATTTGATTTACTATTCTTTAATGTTTCGTTTGGCCAGCAGAATTTAACCACTCTTAAAAAACCAAAACTTGACTTATTTCTGATGAAAGTCCTTACTAAATATATTAACAGCCTTTCTATTCTTTAATAGAACATATCAAATCTGCTTTTAAAAATCTGCTTTTATTGGCAACCCAAGTTCATTATTATGAACAGCAGTTAAGGGACTCGGATGCATAAAGTAAGAAATGAAGCACCTTCTCTGGCCGTCCCATGGCCTCGACAATTAAATTGCTGCTTATATCTGCTGGGGGTTAGGAAACCAAATTAATGGATGGAACAGATAACGGTCTACGGCTGCAGGTCTCTGCTACCGAGTGAAGTTCATGGCTTTATGACAGTTGCAGCTGACTTGGAGGCCTTTTTCATTTATGTCTTCTCTGACATTTAAGTGTGCCAAAGCCTTATTCCCAAGTCATGCGATGTCTCTTTATTATTCAGTCTTTTTCTCTGGTTTCCCTATTATCTTCCAGATCAAACGTAAATTTTGTATGGTCTTTATCTTCCATTATTGTTCCAACCAAACTAATTCTCATCTTTTGCTACGAAATCAGTTAACAATTTTGGTACCAGTCAGAAAGCTTTGCACGGTTTCCTGCTGTTTTCCCCACCCTTAATTCAATATGAACTTCGCAGGTGTTTTCTTGCTAATTGTCATATCTTATGGCTCTAATCTTACTTAATAACTCAGTAATTAACGTTCTGGAATCTTTAATACAACAAGCCAATCATTAATCCCGCAAGCCCTTTCCTGACTGCCCTCCTGAAACTCTGCAACCTCTTAATTATCACGTGTGCATCATCCATGCGTCTTTGGTAACAGACTGCTCTCACCGCAATCCAATCTTTTGAGTTTCACATATCTACGAGGCTTAGTGTAGCTGCTCTCAGTGGATTAGTAATCACTATAACCCCGGCCATGGTTTGTGTGGTCTTTGCTACAGAATCCCCACCCCGGCCGCCAGAAGGGATCTGCGTTCCCATTAGGTTCCCTGACAGTCTCCTGATACCTGCTCTCCTTGAGGTCTTGGAAGCAGGAGTCTACAGTTTTGAGTCTCAGGCCTCTTTTTGAACGAGCGAAACGCATATAATTAATAACTTCATTTTGATGGTGCTCATTTAGGCCCAGCTCTGCCTGAAAGAGAGAGAAGTAATTGTCAGTCTTGAAGATGTAATAAAGGAACAATGGAAACACACAGGATATCCTGTGGTGGAGACTGCTAGATGTCCACTAAATTCTGTTCCTCCCTTCTTCCCGGGACATGGCTACCCAACTAGGGGACACTTCCCAGTCCTCCTGTGGGCAGATGTGGCCATCTGACTACTTCTCAGCACTGGATGTGAGCGGACGAGATGAGGGCTATTTCCAAAGCCTGGGCCTTGAGACAGGGGGCGCATCTTTGCCACACCCTAATTCTCTAAAACCTGAAAGTGGTGGTGACTCGGCTGAACCACGCAGACTGCAACCATGCCCTAGGGGCTGGTGGAGCAAAATGAAAGGGACCGTATCCTTAAGTGATTTCATGAAGGAGCGGTGACCTACTCACCTGAGATGAGCAGTGAGGTAGCTGATGAGAGAAAGTAAACTTCTGTATTCTTTAAGCCACTATTTTTTGGATCTTTATGACAGCCACTTAACTTACCTCATCTAATACAACTTTAAAAAATATATTTGGTTTTGAAATAGCTATTAATTGGTCCTGATTTTTAAACCAGATGAAAGCTTGACAACTATGTGCTAGACATTAATGAAATTCTTTTCCATCTTACAGCTATAGTGATAATTAAAGAAGGAAATTATAAAATTGAACATCTAATGTAGAAGACTAAATGAGTCAGAATTATCTTTATTTTAAGAATAACCTGAACTATCATAGCCTTCTTATGGGAGGCAAAGGTCTAACTTCCAAGCCTCTCTCCAGGCTTACCCCTCACTCTCAGCATGCAGGGTGGCCTCCAACATTGGGGCAGCCAACTCCAAGGTCATTTAGCATGATCTCCTTCAGCCCCCAAGTCCTTTACCATGGCGTTCCTGTACTCACATACATCCTCACCTCCTCTTGGCAGTCCCGTTTTCCTTAGGACATAAGTCTACAAGGGACAGGACCTTGTCCATCTGACTCTCTGAGATGTACCAGTACCTCTCGAAGTGCCCAGCCCATGACAGACATGTGCCCGACAAATGAACTTAAAGAGTATTCCTCCTTTTGAAGGCCACTCCCTCATGAGGCCTAATCGGTTCTCTTTCAAACTCCTGGAGAATTTTACTTACACAATTGTTCCCCCTCTCAACATGCTATGGGTTTCTTCTTCCCTTGAGACTATAGAGAAGATTATGTATATAAACCTCATTCACGCTTAAAAACGACAACAACAAAACCCCAACCCCTGAGATTCCCTCTAGCTACCACTGCATTTCCCTGCTTCCCTTCTACCATGTAGTCCTTAAACCCACATGCTTTTGTAAAGCTCACCAGCGACTTCTTAATTACAAATCCAGCTACATGGCTGATGCCTTGTTCTCAGCTGACCTGCTCCATTCTTTGGCAGCTAACTCCACCTTTCCTTCTTGATCTCATTTGTAGGCTCCTCTTCTTGGGGTTGTCTCTTAAACAATCTGTATTTCCCAGGGCCCTGTCTTGTCTCTATCCTCTCCTTGATGACATAATCTAGCTCAAGGTTTCAGTTGAGACCTATATGCCTATGACTCTCAAGTCCAACAGGCTGACCCACAGATGTGTGTCCCCAACTGTACCACGAACAGCTCCACCAAGTCTTTTTCGCCCCCATTTCAGTGGTGCCCCAACTCTGGTTTCATCCCCTTTTTCGAACACTTCGGTACAGTGGAATGTTCTAGGTGCGGTTGCTAGTTAAGCTGGCATGGTATATCCGCTGGAGAGGTTAATGGAATATGTTTGAGCATGCGAGAAAATGGGGCCTCTTTTGAACAGGTCAGAACCAACGAAATATCACCTAAGTTTCTTCAGCTGTAAAACGGGGGGCTTGGACTCTTAAAATCGTTGTCACATCAGAAAGCTGGATTCAATCACATTTTCCCGCCTCGGCTCGTTAACACATCTCGTTCATGCTGCCAAAAGGCGCGCGTGTGTGCGCAAAAACTTGAGAATTTTTGGAACCGAACGAAGATTCCGCCTTGCGCCTTCGGCTTGCAGCCGGTCCCCGCCAGCTCTCTTCACCGTCCGCCTGCGAGGTGTGACTTGGCCCGGGCACCCAGGGCAGGGGCGAGGAACAGACATGATACGGCGGAGCGAGGCTGCTAGGAGACGGCTTCACCTAGCACTATCCCAGAAGGGCTTTGGCCGAGGTTCACTGAGCTCTCCCACTCTCCTCAGGGAGGTTCAGGGGCCGACTCAAAGCCGCTGCAGGCCACGCCATCACTCCGGAGCTCCAGCTCCGCGTCTCCGGCCCCGGCCACTGCCCACTACTCGGTGCGGCGCCAGCGGACCGGCTACTCACCATGGCGGCGGGCGGGAGTCCGCAGCCCCGAGGAGCGCAGAGGTCAGGCGGAGCCTCGTTAAATCTGCGATCGCCGAGGGTGGTTGGACCACAGAGGATGGGGAGGGAGGGCGGGTTGTTTAGAAGCCTCCGGTTGCTAATGGAAACGGAGGCACGTGACTCTGGAGTTAGGCACTTTTATTGGCCCTCAAGATCACGCGACAGGAAGTGCAGTGTGACTGACCGACCACCGCATGCGCATTAGCGTCCAGAACCCGGAAGTTCCACCTTTTCGCGCCACGCTGACTTGGGGGGGGGCCGGTCGCCGTTGCCAATGGCAACAGGATTGGAGCGGCCGCTCAAGGGTTCCTGGTGGTCTCGACTGCCACGAAGGGCTTTTCCTTCACTTGCCGGCGCCTGGCTGGTCTCGAGGACCGTCGCCTCGACGTCTGACTCCCGACCTCTCGACGGTCTCCTGGGGCGTCGGGCGCGCGCGCCCGGGACTTCTCTCCAGGAGTTCCTACTCGGTCGCGACAGGCCGACAGCACCAGCGCTGCCAGGTTCTTGGATAGAGATTGGAATGATCCTCATAATACCTCGCCCTTTTCCCCCCGCTCATATTCCTGGTTAAAAACAAAAACGAAAACAAAAGAACTCCAATGTAACACCTTTTTCATTAAAAATAGCTAACGAAGTCGTTGAAAGAGTAGTGAATTTCAAACTATTATGCCGAAAATCATCGGGGAAGCTTGTTTAAATAACGATGCTCTGGCTCGAAAAATCTGAATCATGAAGCCTAACTTGGGTCCTTGACATCTGCCATCTTTACCGACATTCCAGGAGTGACCACGGACCACTCTAAGAAACACTGCCCTAGAAGAGGCAAAGGCGTAGGATGAGAGAGATTATTATTGCAAATACCAGGAGTTTGGCGCTCGGGTGGGTGAAAGCCATTGAGTGGGCGTAGGCCATTGAGTAGGCATTTCAGCGGCTCTGAAGACAGAAATGTGAGCCAGATGCAACCACTGGGGAGGCAGTAAGTAAGGTAAGAAGTGAGCTCAGCAGGATCGACACTGAGGTAGACACGGAAATAACGAGCACAGAGCGGGCGAGCTCCCTGAGGGTCCGGGAGGCTTCATACTGAAGAGATGTGGTTGGCATTAACCCTGACTCATGAATAGATATGGTAACTTAGATAATGCCTTTTGGGTTTATGTCGATTTTGGCCACTACGTGGTGCAACTTAAAATGGATCATAACTGAGACCTAAAAGTCTAGAAAGAATTTGAGAGACCTGGTTCCACCTGATTAATTTATGGCTGTAGAGGCTGAGAGCCAGGGTCACATGTTCAAGACCTCAGAGGGCTGAGTGGGGGCATCTGAAGCTTGAGCCTGTGATGAAACGAATGTAAATATGTTTTCAAGAGCAAAACCAGAAAGCAGATGTGAGCTATTCTCATCCAGTGGGTGTTAAATCATATTCTGGTTTCAAGAATTTCATTTTTCTTTTTTCATTTCTTGCCACATTCATTTTATTTAAATGATGTACCCAATTATGTACATACCTTCGTTGTCCCAAGAACTGAGCTCAATGGTTTTTATACTTGAAAATTTCATCGCTAGAACAAAGTGGCAGCAGATAAATTCTGTAGAATAAAGCTAACTTACAAAGAGATAACGTCTTTAGATAAAGAAGTGCAGTGTGGAAAACACATTTATTAAATGGTCCATACAATAAAATGGAAGGCATTAAAATGGATACATTTCAATTCAGACAAGTAAACGCTAGAAGGAAATAGTATTTTCAGATGAGGAAAGTCAGCTCAGAAAAGTAAAGGGTCTTGTCTAGCGACAGAGGCAGCAGAGCCAGGTCTGGAACTCAAATCTCGTGATTGCTGGCAAGAGTTTCTTGAACATTTAGTCGCACTCAAATACAAGTTACAGGGCTCTTCCAAATTTGTCCCCACCCATCTGCATGTAAGGTTCCTCACCCTCTGTTCGCAGGAGGTTATGTGTGTCTCATGACTGGAAATGCAGGGGGAGAAGGAGCAATTTGCTCATTTGAATGGAGCTTGGCAAAGTCTTGGGGGACAGTCAGGAGTCCGCCGTGGTGATCTAGGGATGATATGTGGGCACTTGCCCGTGGAAGGATCTCAAGTCTCAGTGACAAGAACAGTTGACAGGGCTCCCCCGTGTGAAACCTGGAGCACTCCCAGGCACGGAAGGATGGTCTGGGGGCTTGGCTGTGCCCAGCTTCACTTTGGCCTTCCAGTGGCATCTGGACAGGATCTGTCTCCCTTCAAAATCTACAAGGGCTGGTTCTCAAACTGTACCCCCCACTCCCAATTATAACCACCTCGAAGTTCAGTTGAATTTCTACTTTACCATGTCATCTCACATTTCTGTTCAGTGGGTGTCGAATCTGATAACAATAGTTGCCTAATATGGGCTAGGCACTCCATTTTCATAGTTAATCTTCACAATCCCCGGTTCCTTTACTGCATAGACATTCATCGAACTCGGAGGGAGAGAAGGTCATTTTCTTAGGTGTTGTGGATTCAAGATAAAGAAGGAATTTCACAAACACTTTTATGACATTTAAGTAAGCACAGTTGTTTATCAGTTTGCATTTCTAAGGAACCGTGTGTGTGTGTGTGTGTGTGTGTGTGTATGTGTGTGTGTGTGTATCTTTTTACAGGCAACCTCCTGCGCTTGCTAAGTGCTATTAAAGTTGGGGGGCCAAAGCAGTGGGTGGATAATGCAAACATTTCGTTTGCAAGTAGTAGGTTTGGGGCTTGGGGATTTTTTAAGTTTTTCTGCAAAGCTGCATCAGCTAGTTATCTTAATTTAAAATCCTATTTTAATTTAAAATCTTCTGTTTCAAGGATGTTATGATATCACTTTTAGCCAGGCTACCCAGCTGAGCTGCATGTTGTTACATAAGCTGTTTAAATAGTGTCAGCAAATACGGTCTTAAATTGATGAATTTGGCTCATGAAAAGGCTGAACTTGTGCTTTGCGTTGTTTACTAGCTTGGGTTGATCACCAAAGCAAACAATTCGAGCTGTGAGGGAGAACAGCTCCACCCCACTTTAATAGTGAGCTGCTTAGTCTCACTCTATTTTTTTAATTGCTGTGACGATTTTAAAAATGTGTCTGTGTGTGTGTGTGTGTGTGTGGTGCGCATATGTGTGTCAGTTTGGAAGGACTGGACGGGAGGCATTCAAACAAGGCCATTAAATACCCCTTAGCATAGTTCAACATAAGTAAAATGAAGACCAACTCTGTCTTTTTAGATTATTACAAAATGAGGCTCTTAGGAGTTTATAAGTTACCTGTCACGATACCGGCACCACCCATTTTGGGGTACTTACAAGCTAGACTAGAGGGATGCGAAGGTGATCATGGTCTTAGCAGTGCTGACAGATTCACTCATTCCGCCACTATTTACAAAGCCCTTTTTCGTGGAAGGTTCTGTGGGCATGATAGTGAGAATCGGAGAGAAGCAGTGGAGGGATTCAGGTGAGCTTGGTGAGGCTTTATTTAAGTAAAAAGAAAATATTTTTTTAAATGTTTAAGAAAAAAAAATACAGGTGGTACTCAGAAAAGGCAAAAATCTCGAAGTGGTTATATGGGAAAGAGGAAAGTATGAGGAAGACTGAACTGGTAGGTGGGAGATGGTTAGCAGAAAGTCATTTTGGGGGATTGTCTTGAAGGAGGCAGAGCCTTTGGAACATGGCATCTTGCGTGTAATACTACAGGGTCCTCTCCATCTTCCCCCACCCTGCCCAGACACACCTGAGAAAGTAGCCAAGACTTTAAAGAAGGGAAGAATCCAGAATCGAAAGAGTCTTTACAAGAGCTACCGCATTTGAGTGAGTCTCTAGCGGCAAGATGCTATTTTTGGTTCTGTTTGCTCTCTCAGTCAGTTGGTTTCAAAATGCTCCAGTGACCAGCAGAGTATTGGAGGGTGCTGACAAATTAGATTAGTAAAATCACTATCATATGCATTAAAGGAGATCAGGCAAGGAAGTGGTTCACCATAAAATACTACAACTCCCTTTAAGATTGTGTGGATGGCGCTAATTTCTTAGCCCAAAAGATAGATTAGTTTCACTGATAAATCTTCACACAGTAAAAACCCCCGAGAGAAACAAACACCAAAACCATCAAAAACAAGTCAGAAATTGGTTGCGAGGAAACCTCCTTGCAAGAAAAATTTTCCATGAATATGGTGCAACGTATCAAATCCTTAACCATACCCTCACGTGCACACATCTATGTTTGAGTTAGACCAGCAAGCTCAGGCTTTGCATTCAGCGATTGTTCATGGAAGACTGGATACGTGAAAGACACTGCGGGCAAGCGGACGATGAGCAAGGTGGGATTTGTCCCTTTTGCCTGCGGCCTTATTAACAAGTCAAGGGAAAATTCGAGCTTGCAGAACAGTCTCGAAGCAGGCAGTGAGTGGTGTGGGAGCTCGGAGAATGGAAAGGTCATCTCTATTGAAAGTGGACAGGAGACATTCAGGAGGGATTCAGAAGGCAGAGGAAATTGGGCCAGGCTTTGGGAGGCATGTGGAAGAGCTGTCGGTGGGCGTGATAGTTGTGAGAGCGAGAAGGTTGTCCTGAGCAAGGAACCAGAATTTTCATCGGGCGAGGCAGTAGAAGCATCCAGAGATGTACACGTAGATCCGTTACTATTTCGGAGTACCTGTACTAGTGTCTTATTCAGGAATGCAGGCCCGCCTGGATCTGTGATCTTCACTAGATGTTTACCTGGACTACTGTCAGTGTGAAGGTGTTCACCCATTGCATCCCATCTTAGAGACTGGAAAAACAGACTTAAATTTGCTCAGGAACTTTTGCCTACAGGATCTGCTTGGGAAGGTCCGAATGGGTCAGTGCAAGCTGGATTCACGAACGGAGGTTTTCTGAGTGAGATGGATAAATAGAATGAAGGCAAAAGGAAATGTCGATCTTAGTTTTATACGTGTTCATCTTTCCCACAACTACATTTCAGGCCCCTTGAAGGAAGATATCTTTATTATAGGATCGACCTGAGCCCCCCCAGCAAGGGCTGGGCCATAATAAGCCCAAAGAAACAAGGTCCCTGCTCTCCAGGCTATGTAGTGTGAAAGGTAGTTCTTTCC